GACATCTTCCGTCCCGACAAAACCGAGTCACAACGGTCATGGATGACTGTCGCCCAACCAAGCGCCCGCGGAAGAGTGTTTCCGATGTCGGTCACGAGAAACCCGAGGCCACTGCGTCCAATTCCAAGGGTTACTCGAAGAAGCTCGCAGGGCAGATTGATGAATACCATCGCGCGCACGACAACGTCCTGCGCAAGGTCACGTTGCTTCAACGTAACATCACCACGACCACCGGCAAGATACGCTCATCCCTCTTGCATGCTGTTGACTTGCATAACCAACTGGCCGAATGGCTGCAGTCGCATGGAGAGCTTCTCAGCTCCCGATGCTGCAAGTGCGATGACCCCGAGTTCCGGTATCTGTTCGCCGACTGCAAGCATGTACGTTTTGCTCACACTGCTTCGTTAACTTTACTAATATGCCGTTTCAAGAAAGCTTGCGAAGTTTGCGTATCTGTCTCCGGCCGCTGCTGTGACACGAGCCAACACATTCTGAGGGTTTTCTTCGAGCCATGTCCCATTTGCTTGAGCTCAGGCGCCGGCACGAGATGGTGGTGTTCACTTGTGGTAAGAAGAATTGGCCATGATTGCCTTCGATGGACCAAGCTGACTCTCTCGCGAGCAGGCCATGTCGCGTGCAAACCATGCTTCGACGAACTCCACATGGAAATCAAGTCAACTTGTATCATTTGTCGAACGTCAATCGGTCGGGACCCTATCTGCTCGTACAAGTAGGCAACAGCAAGCTGGCGGGCTCCGTATTTCCCATCTCTTCGTTGCAGAGGTCTCGACATTGGCCGGTCCTGCGACGCATCACCGTTTGGGGGCCATACCTCCGCTTCAAGGCACACCATGTGTATTAGTTCCAGCTTCCACTACATTGTTTGCGCGTCCATATGTTACGATAGTTCTGAGGCATTCGTGAAGGTTACTTGGGGAATGGGGAAACATGGAAGGAAGAAGGTAGCAGAATTTGAGCGTCGATTGTCATATTATACGTAACCTTTGCGAGACCTGGACTGACAGAGGAGTCCGCCGAACATGCAATCGAGTATCTCTAGAATGGCCATCAGACGAGCAGAAATTCCCCCTTTTCACCGTCTTCGCTGATGCAGGTCGGGTCTTCAGGACCCTGGACACCACTGTGTCAACTGGATCAAGCTGATTGTCACCTTACAATGCTTCGAAAGCGATGCTTCTTGTCAAAGAAATGCTGCGGACTTCCGTATTCTGCAAAGGATTCCGGGTGCTCAAGAATGAGAGCAACCCAAAGGGGTCGTTTTCGACATTCCATTGTCTTTGTCGTGTCCCTACTACTCAGTGGGCCAGCATCGATACCTACCGATTTTCCGGTGTGGAATCGGTAGGTACCAACTTGCTTCAGTGGACTGTCCCCTGTGGCATTAGCGGAGTTGTATTGATACCTCCCGATTTTTCGGTGTAGAATCGGTAGGTACCAACTTGCGCCAGTGGACAGTCCCCTGTAAGGTACCCGTGGGGACCTTGGTAGGTCGATATGATCAGCCATTGCCAGACTCAGTCACTGCCAGACGACCGATGCAGTCGTTGCCTTGCGCTCCCGATCCTCCGTGGGGGGGAATCTTTTCTTGGACTTGGAGACGTCTCCAGATCGAACGCGGAGATACGGTGCACGTAGCAGGTCGAGCAGTCGTTTGTTGCACCACCGATCACGGGCTTGCGGGAGAGTGACCATTCATCGGGGGCCGCCAGGAAAGCCGCGACTGCTTGGGCTTTGATGGGGGAGTGTGGCTATCTAAGGTACATCACGTTTCTCTTTGGCTCAAGATGGACAGTTCTCCAAGGCAGCAACTGGCTTCACAGGGCAATTCAATTCTGTGGTACTTGCTGTTCGGCCAGCGCGTGCTCTTTCGTGCAAGTGTTTGGGTAGATGAAACTCTGAATCAGCGGCCACAAGAAGACTGCCCGCACCGATGGGAAACACAGGGGGAAGGAGCACCTCCCCTGCCTGCTCTCAGTGGCGCATCCCCTGTGGGTAGCGACACCGGCACCTCCATCCAGAGTGCCTTTTCAGCCTTCGTGCGCCGCCTGCACCATGCAGCCTGGTCCGAATCGTCTCAACCGCCCAGGAACCCAAGGTGTGCCATCCGAAGCCATACCAGCCGGGGCAAACGTCATGCTCAGCTCGGACAAGGTGGATGCATGTCCCCGGACGAGTCCAGTAGGTCTGAGCTTCCAGCCACCATTGCGATCGCGGGTCGGGCCGGCCCGCGAAGGCGTCATATTCCCCATCTCTCATTTCCCTCCTACCTTGATACTGTGGTATAGGTACCTTAGCAGGATACCACCTGCAGCCACACCTTGCTGACTGCTGTACTCACCGAACGCGCAATCCAATACGTGCCACCTTTTAGGGATCCTGCGACCAACTAAGGTTTCACCTTGACGGACTGGCACCCAAGGAACGGCGAAAGCTTGCCACACCCTGTCATTCTCGGAATCATCGCAGCAGCGACACGATTGGCCTCCCATTTCTTCCTCTCTCATTTTGTGCGTAGACAGGGTGCAAGGCGACCATGTCGCACGCCTTGAGGTATGAGGTCATTTGCAAAGACAAGATGCAGCGACGGGCTGGGACATGTCTCAAGAACCTTCCGGGTCAATCTCAGACGAACCTTCACCCATCACCTTTGGAGCGTCGCACTCCGGTATAAGTTGTCAAAATATTTCCAAGCGTTGAATGCTTTCCCATTACTTAGCATCTCACAATTCATCACAAAGTCGGGCAGCGGTACACGTCAATCACACACAAACATGACCAAGTTTCAGCGAAAGCGACAAGGATCAGAGGGCAATGGCAATGGGCTCAATCCCCTACAGCGCTCCTGTTCGTCTCCAAATGCTACCGCTCCGCCAATCTTGTCCCATGTCGGCGATACTCCTCACCTTGCGAGTGGGAATCAGACGCCTGCGCAGCCATCAGCCGCAGCTAACTGGGACATGTCCACGACGCCTCATCCCTAGGGGGGGACAGGGTCTGCATCACTCGGTCGGCCGCAACAGCCATCAACACCCTCTAATGAGAATGGCCATTCGGCTGGGCAGCTCGAAGCGTCCCTGCCCTTCAGTGGCGACTATCCCGGCTACAGAAATATCTTCCCACCACGGGATCACAGGTATACTCAGACGGCTGCGCAACCCCAGGGGTCAGCGCCCTCTAATGGGAATGGCCATTCGCCTGTGCAACCACCGGCCACAGCCGAGTGGGACATGCCTCGGACGCCTCGGGAAGGTCCGCATCGCCATAACGTGAGGACGTATAGGCAAAGGCAACGGCAACAATCATTCTCATCGTCCTCCACCGGTACCTTGTTTCCAGAGATCGCTGAAGGGCTTGGAGGAGGGTCTCCAGCCCCTTCTTATGGGAGCAGTCATTTGAGTTTTGAGGACGAATATCCGCAGGGAAATAGGACACCTCTTTCGCTCGGCCATCCTCAACAGACGTTCCGAACCTCGAATAACGACAATCTCAGCTATGGGAGCACGTCTTTGCCGCGGGCTCATCCCAACACTCGTACGCCTGGGCAGCCCGAGGCGTCTCTACCCGGCTATGGTGGCATCTCTTCACCACAAGGTCATAGATATACTCAGACGGCTGCGCAACCCCAGGCGTCAGCCCCGTCAGTTCCCGCTCCAGCAGGACCCTGGAACTCCAGCCAGAACATTGGCCGATCTCAGGTACCGTCAACCCTGGTCCCGATCCATCCTCCGACCATTATTCCGACCCAGCTTCAAACCCAGCTTCAAACCCAGCTCCAAACCCAGTTTTCACCCCAGTTTCCACCTCAGCTTCCATCCCAGTTTCCGCCCCAGTTCCCACCCCGGTTTCCACCCCAGCTTCCGACCAATATTCCAAATGCCGGCTTGGGTCATCCTCACTATTACAATACATCTTCGCAAAATACCCAAGCCATACCTCCAATACCACGCCCTTTCGCTTGTCCCCATTGCAATGCAGCCTTCAAAAGAAATTACGATCTAAACCGGCATAAGAAATTGCACGAAGGAGTCAAACCGTATCCATGTGGGAACTGTGGCAGGCGGTTTGCTCGGAAAGATGCTCTGAAGGTATGAAATGATCCCCCTTGTCCCCGCTGCTTGCTGAGAAGGAATCCAGCTTACAAACGCCGCAGAGACATCGTTTAGTCACAGGCTGTGGGTCGGAACAGAAAAAGAGCGAGGGAGAGGGGGACGAGGACGCAGAGGGAGAGGTTGATGAGGACGGAGAGGGAAAGATGGATGAGAATGAGGAGGGAAAGATGGATGAGGACAGGGAGGCTTAGGTGGAGGTTCAGAGGAGTATCACACAGCCTGTTTCCTTCTAACAAAGCATGAGGGACATGGTAGTTTGAAGAAAGGGAAGAAACCACGGCTGTGTAAGACCGTATGTTGAAGTTTATAATTAGCAGTCTGGGGGCTCCAACATTTGTATAAGAGGAAAGGAGGAAGCAAAACTCGCAATGAGTGTATCGTTAGGTTTGCTCTGAAATCGAACGGAGGCGTTATGCGCCCTTCAGTGTGCACAAGAAGTACGTACCCTACAGGGGCTCACCACTGAAACATTTAGTACCTACCAATCTCACACCGAGAAATCGGTAGGTACCAATCGGATTTAGTGGGCACGTATCAAATTAGCAGCCAAAACGTAGGTGCCCCACTAAGGTTCTGATTTGTCCCTTACGGGCGCCTATACGTACAATTTGACAGCACGTACCTGAGGCAGGTCATGAGGGTTGCCTCCACTGTCCGTGCTGCGCTCGCAGATACCAAGTCCACCCCTAAATCCAGGCCCCTTCACTTGCCCGTGGTCATCAATGACATGGGTGGTGAAAGACTTATCAACGTTGCCTTATATAAGGTAGACATGTTTGTCCGACTATGGGGGCGACTTAAAAGTTCAGGTGTTACTTGCATGGGAGCTTTGCTCAAAGTTCAGTGTTACCACTACCCCAGGAGCAAGCCATGGCGACAGACCCCACCACCACCCCACGCCACGGTGCCCTCCACGTCCCCACCAACCCAACGGTACCTACGAGTCTAGCGACTTCAGGGTGCATCCCTCCCATTTCACAACACTGTTCCTCCGTTCCTTGTGGGGAACAATCCAGCTCGCCAGCAAAGGAAAGCACCTGTCGCGCTCGCAGCCGCAGATTCTCTCCCGGACACATCGCCAACGCATGGTTTATCCCTCGGCTCGATCCATCTGTAACTTTGCGCGTCCACCGCCTGTCGTCGAAGCGAATCCCCGAGATTGCTACTGGTGTGTGCTACCCAAATACAAGACATCCGCTACATGTTCTACAACTTGGCTGACCACTGCTGACCCCTTTAGTTCCCGACTTCGTGTGTATTTGGGGTACCTCGGATGGATTGCCCTACCTCCAGGTCGTCCTCGACATCAACAATCCAACCGTGCGTGGTCTTATCTCGAAAGCGGTCCGTCCTGGCTTACTCGAATTTCGCCGAGACATTGATGCGAATCGCGACGAGTACGCAGAAATGAAGACCCCATGCGACGATCCCGACGACCATCCGATCCGCGGTTGGTACAATGGCACGGAGAAGATCAAGCCAGCATTTTGGACCTCAAAGATCTCACGCAAGACCAAATCAATGATGCTTTTGACGCCGAGGAGGAGGATGTATCACCACAAACCTGGACAGGAGGCAGAGCAAGATGGAGGGAAGGCTCAAGAATACAGGGAATTTGGACTTCAAGAACAAAAGCTTTGCGTTTATTCCGGTCGAGGAGGCGCCTGCTCATGGATGGCGAGATCAACGCCTCGTCCTTGTCAATGGCAGACAAAAGTCCATCATTGCTAGGATCAATGCCAGCGAATCGGCACCATGAACGACGGAATCTAATGTGTCCGCATGGCTTGCAACCCAGCCGAGGAGGACGAGGGCGGTGATTCCGATTTTGACCAGGTCAAGACCGACTACAACGATCTATGGGCAAGAGGGGAGTGCAGGTCCGGACGGTTGTCAAATTGTCAACATTCCCGGCCTTTGGGCAGTGTTGTGTGCACCACACACCCTGCCTTTTGGAACTCGGCGAGTAATACTCAGACCGTCGATGGCGAACCGTGTCCTTTTCCCCATCTTCTCTTCCCGTCATTCATCCCACTCAACTTATCTTTTCCTCTGCCGTACTTGGGCCCTTCATCGTGTCACCAGCCCATGCGAAAGGGACCATGCCTGCTCCCCGAAGTTTGTCGCTGATACCATGCTCCCAAGTGCAAATGCAAGCAGCGTCTTTGGTTCCTCGTCTACAGAAATGCGCTTCTAGCTTGCCTTCACGCGACGCGGTGCCGCCGCCATGTCCTGTGTCTTTTCTATGGTGCATGTTGAAGTCAACATGTACCCCGACAGCCGACGATACGCGCCAGCAGAGACGTCCTCGCGTTCTTCATTGTCTATTCCTCTGTTTACGACCATTTTAGCTGATGCGCTTACCAACATCAGCCTGCTTCAAGTTCTTGTGGTTTCACATGTCCTCGCCTTCACGCCTGCCTCCTCTGACGGTCATCGTCCGTCAATACCAGCTGCTGCTCGAGTCTGACCATGGGATAGCAATCTCATGGCCTCGACTACACACTCTGATGCAGATTGAAACTCAGCAAGACTTTGGTGCTCTCGCGGCTGACGTTCGGCTCCGGACTTTCGACCTCGCACATGCCAAGTAGAGCCTGCTAGCAAGAGCTTTCTTCCCTCACAGACCCTATTCGTGGATATCTTCAGAACGTACCAAGTCCCAAGGGAACATGAGGGCTGGCTTGGAGTAGTCTTCTCCGGCATTCTAGTGATTCTCTTGATGGCCCAAGCAATATAGAGGGCCGTTGTCCCTTCAAGGGACCTCTTGGCATCAGCACAAATCATCCAGCGGGCTCTTTAGCAGATCACAGCTCTGGTCAGCAACCGGACTCGAAGCCCCAATTCAACAGTCATAGAGGCCTGAGGGTTGACTGCTTACAAGGGAAGACAGGTTCGTTCCTGCGCTGCTCATTCTCCAGGCCCTTAAAACCTTACTTCTCTGAAGCTGGGAACAAGAGAGAGAGCGAGCACTCAGAGCATAGACGCCCATTGTCAACCTGTTGTTCGTGCTGTCCACTTCGTCGGAGGCTGACTTCCAAACACCTTCAACAGCTTAGAGCATTTGAATTGAAAGACACCTGCTTTCCAGTGTTCAATTGGCACACGCTCGCTTTTTCTCAACGATGTTGCTTGGTCCTACTTTGCTCAACGGTGATGGTCTACTTGACAGTGTGCGCGAATACCTTCGCGCTGAGCTCATGGCCACCGAAGCTCTTTGGTTCATACGGCAATCTAACAGCATGAATCGGAAAGCGGATTTCTTTGTCTTTCTCATAACCTTTCTCAATAATGTGGTTTTCCTGAAATATGAAGCTTTTCCTTTGAACTATTCTTCAACCCCATCACCTCGCAAGGGACGAAAGCATCAAGTCCTACTTTCTATCATATTTTAAGCGACTGCCAGAACTACCAGAGCGTCTCATAGCCCATATGACATCTCTCCATCAAGCTTCAAATGTTCTTATTCCTTTTACAGACGCAATCACTTTCAGCGTCATGTGGGTCTCTGTTTCCGCAGCTCAGTAGGTATCATGTGACTCCAATTCCCAGCGATGAATCCAATATGCCGTGTCTCCCAAGTCTGCCAAAGCTTTTTCAGCAATGAGCAAGCACCAAGCCGGTGGAACTAACTGTTCCGCGAGCCTCCACTCGCGAACAGATTGGGCTCATACGGAAGGGCGTGGCCTTGGACACATCGACAGGAGCTGGAGCTCATCATGCCACAGGCCACCTCAGCCGTCAAGGTTGCGCAAGCCAGACGGAGTCAGAATGTATGCGAGTCTCATTATACAAGGCTGTTGCTGCGCATTTGAGGCCTCGATACTTATAGCCTGAGACTGAACAGCTACGAGGCGGCTTCAAAGTGATTGTACCACTTCCCTCCTACATACCACCCCACTGGCACCCACTGTTAGTGCCGCGCTGGGACCTTCACATTAATACTAACACCACCCAATCTACCCCCCACGACCAGAACCCTCGCCCGCGATGGCCTCACAGCCAGCCGCAGGCCTCTCGCAGGCCCCTAGGGGCCTTTCAGCCTCTATGCACAGCCTCCCCCAGACCCCTCCTCCCCCTACCTCCTTACCTCCACGACCGAGGGGCCTCACGCCCCCCCCTATCCAGCCCTTGGGAAGGGGGCCACGATCCGCCGCCGCCGCCCTCCAGCAAGCCCGAGAGGGCCGGGCCCTCCGAGATGAGGCCCTAGACCTCCTCGCTAAAGGACTAGATGCCCTCATTGGGACGGCCCCAGCGCGACTGAAGGCTACAGCCCAGGACCTCATCGATACCTTCACCCGGTTTGCAACCGCAGAAATCTCTGGACCCACCCCTGGCCCCAGCACTGGAAAAACGTATGCCCAGGCAGCCAATAGCCCCACGGCAAGCAGCCCCAGCCCCAGCTCCGGCCCCAGCCCCAGCCCTAGGTCGAACCGAACAACAGGCCGGCGGGCTATAAGCTCTATAAACCAGCCAAGACAGACTTAGGACCTCCGCCTGCTAGTTCGGCTCCCTGCAGAACATATCCCTACCTCCAGAACCCTAGCCCCCCACTCAGTTAAGATGGTAGTAACAAAAGAACTCAACCTACAGCCGCAAGACCTAGTTGAGGTCCGCCACACTGCTACAGGCTTCTCACTCCAGCCCCAGAATAAGGAGATCCAGGCCCTGCTTCTACAGAGAGCCCCTGAGATCAAAAGCTGTCTCACAGCTGAGAAGGTTGAGGTGCCCACTAAGTGGCATCAGTATATCATCCCATTCTGCCCCCTCTACTTTACTAGCCTTAACGGCAGTAGGGTTGGTATAGAATCTGAAATAGAAGAAGAGGTCTTCCTAAAGACAAAACAAAGACTCCTCTCCTGGCGCCCAACCTAGGGCAGCCCTGATCTAGCTACAGCTATATAAAGCCTGATTATCGCCCTCCCTCAAGAGGTTAAGGAAGGCTTCCGCCTGTTTGGACAGTCAGGCCCTGCCCGCCTGCTACCCCCGAGGAAGCATATCCCCAAACGACACTCCCCTAGCTGCCAGGGCTTTCACTCAAACCGCTACTATACCTAGAAACCCCTCTGCGAGAACTATAGTAAACCCTTAGATACTTATAGGGCTGGAATCTGCTCAGCTAGGCCTAGGTGTGCTAACTGTCATAGGCCCTTCCCAGCAAGCTATGCGGACTGCCTAGCTAGGCCCCTACTGGTTAACAGGAACCTTACTATTCCAACCCGGAAGGAACTGCGAGGGATCCAGAAGGTTGGAGAGAAGGCGTCTGACGACCTCCTTGCAAACCAGGCTGGCTCCCCAGGAAGCAGCACACAGCAAGCTGAGGCTAGGCTAAGCGCTACATCTAAGCGCCCTCAACCCCTCACACCTACGTAAGACTTAATTATTATAGCAGATACTGCTAGTATAGCTGGGAGCAGCAGTATGGAGGAGGATGAGGCTGAAGATTCTGAAGCCCTCCCCCCCCTAACTAACCGCCCTATCTATCTACTCCTAAGCAGCAGCAGGAGCCAGAGGGTAGCATAGAAGCCTGACTATAACGTTACTAATGCCTACACCCACCTCAGCCTCGACTCAGAGCAGTAGGCTCAGAATAGCTACCCCATGGGTACTACGGGTCGCCTAGTGTAACGTGGGGAAGATAAGTCCAGCTCACACAGCTCTCCTAGAGCTCTGCTGGGCAGATCAGATCGATATAGTACTGATCCAGGAACCCTGGATAGGCTATAGAGATAAGATGCAAATTAACACACACCTAAGCTATAACTCTTATGTGCTAGTAGACTTCTGGAACAGCAGGGACATAAGGCCTAGGGTTATGACCTATATATGTAAAGGTCTAAGGCTGCAGATATAACAACAAAGACCTACCTAATTAAGGGATATCCTATAGGTTAAGGTTAGCAACTTCACTATCATAAACGTCTATAGGCCACCAGGCGAGCCTATAAACCATACAACAAGTACCCTCCTAAGCTATCAACCGCCAGCAGGAGCTCTTATAGCTGGGGACTTTAACGCGCACTGCCCATACTGGGAACCTGGCTCCTGGAGCTGGAACCAGGGAGACAATATCGCAGAATAGGCTGAAGGCCACAATCTTAAGTTTATTAGGGAGGTTGGAGCTGCTACCCACACTTATAGGCACACCCTCAACCTAACCTTCTCAAACATCCCCTTTGCTGAGGCCTATATTAGCCCATATATACACCTAGGGGCTGATCATCAAGCTATTACGACTATTATACCGATAAGCAAAGCCTAGGAACAGAGGCGTCAGACTAGCCACCCTACAGTCCCAGACTCAGCTATACTCCGGCTAGCTGACCTAGTTAAGCTGGGGATCCCAGCCCTACCTACCCTAGGGGATACACCTACTCCAGCA